TCCACTATACACCCCACCTCCGGCGCTCCGCCTTAGTCAGGGGCGATCCGGATTTAGCAGGTCCCCACCCTCCAGGCGCGGTGAGCACGCGGGTGGGGGTCGGGCACAGAGGGCGGGGACGCGGGTATCGCGATGGGAACGCGCACCGAGAGCCGAGGGCGGACTGGGGCGCGCACGAGGGGGCTGTCGATGGCGGGTCGGGCGCGCACGGCGGTGGCGCGGAGGGCGCGCAGGCCTAGCACGGCAGGTGGGGGCCACACACGGACGGCGGGAGCGCGCGCGTGACGGTAGCTCCGCCCGGCGACCAGCGCCGCGCACGGCCCCAGCCGGCTCCTCGGTACGCCCCGGGGGCCCTGGGAGGCCTCGCGCCTGGGATCCGAGCTGCGGGCGGCGGCGAGGGTCCCCGCGCGCCTCCGCGTCCCACCTCCCTCCCCTGGGCAAAGGTCACGAGGAAGCCACTGCCCACGTCGGGCGGAGCGGGAAACGTGGCCCTTGCGGTTCCCCTCCCTCCCAGCTCACAGGCCGAGACCGGGACGCCGATAAACTCAGGCTTCCGGGCGACGGGGACAGCCGGCCCGACTCCGAGCCACTTCCTGCGGGACCGCGCCCGCCACGGCCCAGAGGCTCTTCGGGACAAGGGGCCCCCAAGCTCCAAGCCTAGTCCGGCTCCCAGGAGCCGGCGACCTCAACTCACCTCCGTGGGTCTGAGCCACTCACCTGCTGCCAAGACCTGGGGATCGCGCCGACCGCGGGGGCGGGGCAGCTCACCTGAGCCAGGTGCGCAGCGGCGAAGATCCCGGCGGCGGCGGCAGGTGCAGCCCCGCCCAGCAGCCAGGGCCTGAGGGCGGACCCGAGAGTCCCGCTTTGCGCCCAAGTCCGGCGCTTAAGACCGTCCTGCTCTCAGGCGCCGGGAAGCCTCGGAACTGCAGCCACGCAGCCTGGGGGCAGAGGGCGAACCGGCCCAACCAGCCGGCAGAGTCTTGGACCTGGGGGACTCCTCAGAGTTTCCACTGTCCCCAGGGGCACCGTTCTGGTTCTGCCCCTCCTCCCCAGCTCTTCCTCCGGGAAGCCTGCCCCTGACCCTCCCGTGCAGGGACGGTGGGATCTCAACACGGCGCTGCTCGCTTGGAAACCCACGGAAAACCAGAGGAGGACCAGGAGGCTACCACATTCCAGACTTTGCTCCATCTGGGAGAATTTCCCATCTAGCCCTGAGGACAGACACAATCCACAAGAGGCCCAGAATTGACATGAAGAAGTTTTTATTTTATTATAGAAAGTTCTTCAGGCTGAGGAGAGCCAGAGAGGTGGGGTCAGGGCCCCCTGACCAGCCAGAATTGGGCAGGGGGGGGGTAGGATATGGGTCCCACAAGTCAGAGAGGGGCTCAGGAGACTGGGCTGGTTTTCCTGTGTTCTGACCGCTGAGAAGCACCCCCCCAACCCCAGTTCTGTGGGTGGCAGGAGTCAGTCAGAGTTCAAGTCAGGGCTGTACCAAGCCTGAGCCCTAACACGTGAAACAGGCCTCCTAGACAACAGAGTGCTGCTCCGCAACACCTCAAACGCACGCAGGCCCTCCAAGACCCCGCGTATACACCGGCCTCCCGGGACCCCACACATAAGCGGTGGGGGGGGGGGGGGGGGGGGGGGGGGGAGGTGGTGGTGGCTCTGAGTCCCAGCTCCGGGCACCAGTCTTCTTGGCCAGCTCTGGGTCTCCTACACATCTGTGCTCTTGCGGCTGGAGCTGGAGGCAGGACCGGGATTGTTGGGGATCAGGGCGAAGTGTTGGGGTTCAGGGTGAGGCTCTACCTCGGGCCGGCCCACCCCCGCCTGGCCTCAGCCTCCCATACCGTATCTTTTCCCGGAGTGTCCGGTACTTGTCTTCCAGAACCTTGTTCTTTACCGACTGGGGGACATCGGGCACGAACCAGGCGGCAATGAGCTTGATGCACAAGGCCACGTGCTGGGCGTGGGGGGACGGGACAAGGGCTGAGCAGGCATTTTAGGGGCTGGGGGCCAGGGAGAAGGGCTGGAGAGAGCCGCCTCCATTGTGGGGCCCCTCCCCCAGTTCTGGCCCACCTCAAACAGGATAAGGAAGACCAGGCGGATGGCCAGGAGGACCCAGAACTGCTCAGATAAGTTGTAGTCCTGAGCGTTGCGATAGTCCCGGTACCTGGCGGGGAGGGGGGGAGCACCTGAGGTCAGGGGGCCGAGGGCAGGAATTCAGAGGTTGCTCATGGGGGCTGCGGGGGTCCAGACCTGCACTCAGTCACGTTCTCTGAGCCCTCTATCCGGATGGGGTCCTGGAAGTCCTTGGTGTGGAACACGGACAGACTGTGGTTGATGTAACCTGTGAGGCAGCTGGGGGAGGGAGAGAAGGGCAGAGGCAGGTGTGGGCTGCAGAGCGTGGCCTCTTCTGGCTTCCAGGGTGCTTTCCTGGAGCTAATCCCTGTGTGGCGGGGGCTGTCAGGGTGGAGCACAGCACGGAACCCCCTTCATTTCTCTGCGTGGGAGAGGGGCCTCTGGGGGTGACTGAAGGGACTGAGAGGGCCCCCCCTGCCTTCCGCGGCAAAAACCGAGGGGAGCCTTCCGGAGGGAGACCCCTGCAAACCCCATCTGTAGGAGCAGTGGTCCCCTGTTCGGCCCTCTTCTGTGGAGCAGACCCCAGAGGATCCGACTTTTGGGAGGGAGTCATTCTGGCGGTGGCTGCTCAGAAAACAGCTCCTGCTGGGACCCTAATTCCCCCATGGGGGTTCCTGGCAGATTGTCACGGGAGGGCAGCACCCCCCTCAGGCCCAGATTCATGACAACCACAGACGACACTGGCCACATCAAGCCCTTCCCCTGCGCTCCCCTAGGGCCGGGCTGTGGTTGGGCCAGTTTTCCCAGGCGCCTCGGGACAGTCTGAGGCTCCCCTGGCGCCCCCTTACTCGACTGCAGGGTCGGCCCCCTTTCGGCACGGGCCGTAGTGGTACTTGTACACCACTCGGGGGATGAACTCCGATGTGAAGGCGATGACCATTCCGTTGGCAATGACCGCCAGCACGCCGATGGTCTCCAGCACCTGCAGCCAGGTCCCTGGGCCACAGCAGTGGGGTGAAGCAGTCTGCTTCCTCCAACCCTGATCCTCTGACACTGCCCGCCCCACCTCCACCCATGGTCCCCCAAGGCTGGGAGCCTGGATGGTCATGGGGCCTTGTCACCTCTGCCCATGCCTCTGCTCAGTGGGCAGCATTCACCGACGAGGAAAACCTGGGCCGTGGCGGACATAGACCAGGAGGGGCTCAGGTCCCCCCTGGCCCCCATCTTCTGCCTGAACCCCTCAGCTGCCCCAAGCTTGCCCCACTCCCGGGTCAGAACACCTTAACCTGGGCCCTAGAGTGGGGCCTCTCCCCCCCCCACCTCTCCCTCTGCCCACACCCAGCACCCAGTCCCCTCTGCTCTTCCCTGATACCTGGCCATCTCGGCAAGGACAGTCTGGGTGACGGAGGCCACCTCTTAGTCCCTGCCCCCAGCTGCTGGACCCCTCCCTCCCTCAGCTCCGGGCTCTCAGAGCCCAGCTCCTCTGCCTGGGCCCCCCCCACCCCACCCCAAGCTGGATCCTCCTCTGGGAGGGAGGCAGGGGCCTGCGGGTGCACACCAGCCCCGCCTCTTCCCGGGGCCTGAGCACCACTCTCCAAGGCCAGCTCTCAGCCTAGGCAGAACCTGGGGAAGGACTGGGGGGAGGGGGCTTATCTTGGGATCATTTCGAGGGCACCACCTGGTCCCAGCACCCCTCGCCACCCCGCCCCTGGCTGGAGCGCCCGTGCTCCTCGCCACCGAGTCGGGCCCCTGACCGATGTCCTTGGCCTTGCGGGGCACCAGGCGCCGCTGCAGCCTGACCATCTTGATGGCGTCCAGGCGGATCTCCACGAGGTTGCTGAAGAGCGCCAGCAGCGGGGCGAGCGGGAAGGCCGCCACGAAGATGGTCGTGAAGCCGTACTGGATCACTGGGGGGTGTGGAGA